AAAATCAATAAGGGAATTGAATAGCATTATTCCCAAGTGCATTAAAATACAATTCAATTTGCAAAAATTTGATTTATACACTTTCCAATGGTGCATCTTTTATGCAAAGAAAACCCCAATTCAGGGACTTTTCTCCCCAAAAGCTCAAAGCTCAAACCACCGAGGCTACATTTTTCAAGGCCAAGATGGGGCTGGGGGTGGGAGTGGGGGATGGTGAGCTCGCTGCTGCCTGACCGTCCTGATGCCCATCGCTGCCTCTTAAGGGGAGAACATTGTGCTGGGGCCTTGATCTCAAGAAAGGAAATCTCCAGCATCATTCCTGGTACCCTGAATCTCTCACGTTCACTTCGGAGGATGCCATTTGCTGGCAGGACCACAGAATGTTCTCTCATGCCCCTTGCAGCCTGCTCCCCACACAGCAGCCAGCCTGGTCTCTCTAAATCTGTGTCAGATAACGTCCCTCCTGTGCTTAAAACCCTCCAGTGCTCCCATCTCAGGCAGAGCAAAGGTCAAGGTCCTTTCCATGGCCCACAAGTTGGGCAAGAATAGGATATATTATCCAGACCAGGGCACTCTGGGAGTAAAGGAGGCTCTAGTAATCCCACGGGATACCAGTGTGACCCGGGACAGCGCTCTGGTCCCAGAGGCCATGTGCCATCTGGTCCCTGTCTGCTTCTGCAGCCTGCTCCCTGCCCTCTGCCCTCACTTGTCCCCTAGCTCCCTTACTCTTCTTTACACAACCCTCCTCTGGGCCTTTGCACCTGCTGTTCCCTCTGCCTGGAGTGCTGCCACCCCACCTCTACCCAGACACCCACAGGCTCCCCTCCCACCTCCTACACATCTCCAGTCAAATGTCCCCCCTCAGAGAGGCCTTTGTGACCCTCTGACACCTCCCACCCACCATCACTGACATTCCCCAACCCTTGTCTTTTCCTGCCCAGCATTCATACGCACCCGGAACACTGACCCCTGCATTCATTTATAGGGGATTGTCTCCCACACTAGAAACTGAGCCACATGAAGCGGGGACTCTGCTTAATCACCACTGAATCCCCTGCCCCCACCCCATGCAGGGTATACAACAGGTGCTTAATAAATAGTCATCAGGTGAGGAGATGAATTCGGGGGGGGAGGGGGCGGCGTTAGCACTGATACGGCAGCAACCCTGGGCCAGGACGGTCCCTGTGTCTCCTGTGACCTCCCACCTCCCACCGGAGTGGAAACCATCACCCTTATTTTCAGATGAGGAAACTGGGGGTCCATTGCTCTGTTCATCATTCATTGACTCAGTGCCTGATGCAGGGTGGGTATTTATTACCGTCAGCTTTCAAAAGGACAAAAGCCCTTACAATATTATCCACATCATTTTACAGAAGAAAAACCTGTGTCCTGAAGAATTCAAAGCCCATCTCTCACAGGCAGTTAGTGACCTGGGACCACACTCAGGCTTCCAGGTCCCCAGACTCTCAGCCCAGTGCTCCTTCTCCAAGTCCAAATCCCGTGTGGATCCCACCAGTGACGGGAAAGCCCTCCCGAATCTCCCCAACACCAGGGTGGGTCCTTGAGGAGCCACGTGGCTGTAGTGGGGGTTTGAGAGTGAGGCAGATGGCATTTTCAGATGGCAAACGTCATGTCAAAGGTGATTAAGAATGAGGGGAGCCCTGGGGACAAAGAATAATGGGGCTTGGCTTAAATTAGGCAAGAGACAAGATAAGTAATGCGGGATGGCAACTTATGTACAAATTTACATATGAGAAGAGTAATTATAAATCTTTGTTATAAATTTCCACTGTTATAACGGGAGGCGACACAGACCCAGTGCATGAATCAAGGATGCCAGAATGACATCTATTAGGGAACCATTGTTCCTGACACTGTCTTGGGGATTTTTGTGTTCACTTTGGGGCCTTTAATTAATAGACAAGCCCATCGCTGGGCTCAATTGTGTGAAGGGCTTGGAGTTGGGGGTGGGGGAGGGGCGATCCAAATCTGAGGGATCATTATGATTGTCATGATCATTATCACAAGACTTGCCTCGCCGGCGTTGTCGTGGAAACCACACGTGTATTAGTAATGCGCTCTTTTAAGGTCACCGGGATGCTGGCATCCCTTAACGGATGCCTGCTCTGTGATTGCTGCCCAGTGGCCTTGGTGACATGGACAAAGAATCAGTACTCCGCAAGGCCTGTGATGTTTTTGTTCCAATTCTTCCTCTAGCTCATTCTCCATCCCCACAAATAGCTCATAAAAAATGATCACCCCTCTGGGGGCCCTGGAAGTGTTTTGTATTGCGATCTGAGTGCTGGTCACACGGGTGGATACATATGTACGACTCCATGGACCTGCACGCAAGATTAAGAACATTTTACAGCACATACGTTATAGCTGGATACATTTTTATTTTTTAATTTCATCCTTTTCTTACCACCAGGAGAATTTTGTCCTTTCAAAAGGCAAGGGCCTGCCTCACTCAGGTGACATTGGAATACTGTAATCAGAAGCACTACCCTTGAGGGGACAGCAACTCGTACCACATACTTTGTGTGTCAGGCACATCACAGACTTCATGTCCCTGCATCCTCGCCTCCATCCAGGGAAGTCAGTATTCTTCTCCCTATTTGATGGATTGGACACTGAGGCTCAGCAAAGCGCAGTGGCTTGCCCAGAGCCACCCAGGGAAGTGGGATCTGAGCCCAGGTCTCCGTGACCCCTAGCCATGCTCTTTCCGCCTCATGTGGGCATGCCCCCTTGACCAAGTGAACTGTGTCCGGAAAGGAGAATCCAGAGCAACAGCATTCTGGAATTCGTAGTATATGGGGAAAATTTAAAAACAACAAAAAAAGTTTTTCTCACTAAAAAAAACAGGTCACAGAACAGTGGTAAGAAAGTGATGTCTCATCCCAAACATATTGTTCTTCCCGCTCAGTACTTTTTAAAAAAACTACTTGCCTACCTTGAAAAAAAATGCAAATCTAGATTTCTGCAGTCTTCTAAAAATCAAATCTGGCTGCTCCGGGTCCGCAGTCCCCATGGCATCATGTTCCACTTTGCCCCAGTCTCCACCCAGCCACCTTCACTTACTAGGGGGTGACCATCTACTGTCTGGTGGGCTGACATTTATTCGCTGTCCTCCTGGGACCCATGCTCCAATTTTCCTCTCTAGAACCACCCCCTTACCCACTCCTAGTCCAGCTAGTTTGAGTTGGATTGAATCCATCCCTGGCTCTGGTGGTAGTGTCCATGTGGTTCAGTCCTGATCAATCAGAGCATCACATTACTCTGTCCACAATGATTGGCATCCGCTCAGGCTGATTGGCAATCAGAGCCAATGAGGTACAAGGAAACCTATTGGGATTTGCTGGGAAAATAGCATGCAAGACTTGAACCTGCGTGGGATAGCCTGGAGCTGCTGTCAGCCATCTTTAAAGCATATGGAGTCTTAGAATAAATCCAACACAGGAGAAAAGAGCCTAGCGATGGAGAGGTCCTGGTGTCCTTATTGAGTCCCTTGATAAAGCTCTACCTGAAGCTAAATATCCTGTATTCTTCATTGATGTGAGCCAATAAATTACCTGGTTTTTGTTTGTTTCTTCAACCGATTTGAGAGAGTTAGGAGCCGTTTGTTTGTAAATAACAGAAAATTCTTCCCTAGAGAAGCTCCTGGGCTAGCAGACAGCAGGATAAGGACCCAGTAGGTAAAAGTAACAGAAACCTAAATTTCACCCCAATGTAAGGTGGAACTTTCCAAGACTGAATCATTAAGGAATAGCAATATGTTGTGGAATCCAGTCAATGAAAGTATTCAAGTAGATTTAAATTTGTTATGAATGTGTCACTTTGACACAGGGTAGGTGGTTGGAGGAGGTAATCCCAACCTTAGGTTCCTTCCAACTTGGTGATCCTATGAATGTCAAGACTAGAATATTCCTCAAGAAAGATTTCCTGAATACCCTGGGAAAATTCCTCCCCTACCCCTATTATCCATTATTACTAAATCCCAATTGTTGCCTTCACAACAATTACCAATATTTTAAATTTTATTTAACTTCTAATTTACTTAATTTTATTTCCAGTTTTAGGTTCATATTTTTGTTTACTTGTTTATTTCTGTCTCCCCCACAAGACTAAGTTCGATAAGAGCTGAGACTTTGTCCGTTTTATTTTCCTGTACCTCCAGCACCTGGCCAAAGGCGTACACACAGTAGGCCTTCAATTAGTACTTTGTTGAATGCATGAGAGAAAGAGTGAGGCTTCCCTGGACGTGTGTTTTCTACGGAGTCACTCAGAAAGCCAGAGTCCAAAGAGAACCCCTGAGATCTGGAGCCACTCGGTGTCTTTCACACCAACCCTATGTAGAGACATCTCATCTATGCCATTTAGTGAAGGATGTCACTTTAGTAAAGGACACTATGGCACCTGTTCTCTAGAGTGTTCTCCATCCGGAGCACACTCACCCTTGTCTAGAACATTTCTCCCTCCCACCCTGTCATCCAGCCCAGGAGACAGCCCCTGGGAGTTCCCTGTGACTCAGACTCCCTCTGCAGCCCCTCCCAGCTCTCCCCACTGTGTTGCTGGAGGCTTGAGCTTTCCCACTGTCCCTTAAGACAATGTAGGAAGGGAAACTCATTTACTGAGTGCCTGCTATATACTAGGAGCTTTGCATCTATGAGTGCACCTAATTCCTCACAGCCACCTTACAAAGTTGGCACCATTAGTCTTTATTTTAAAGAGGAGGGAACTAAGGCTTAGAGAGGTCAGATGACTCACTCAAGGGCACACAGATCTCAATTGTAGGGAGATGACACTCTAAAGTTTGTGCTATTTCTGCTATCCTATATTTAGCTTTCTAATCTGAATATGTGTGTGTGTGTGTGTGTGCATGCACGTGTGTGTATGCGTATATGTTTTTTTCATTCCCCAGCACTCTTTTCTGCAAATGGTCTTTTCACTCTCTGGGGACTGAGGCACACACACACACACACACACACCCCAAGTCATCAGCTTCTTTCTTTTATTTATTATACTGGAGGAGTAGGAAATAATACAGGCCTATTGAGGACTAAGCAAATTCCAAGTAATTTGCGTAAGTGGAATTTTTAAAAGCACACAAAACAACCCTAAAACAACTTATACATTTCAAAACATCATGAGAGATCTGGGGTTTGTGCAGGAAGAGGTGTGCTTGGTAGCATCTCGTACAAATTAACCAAAGCCAAGGGTATTTTCTCTCTTATCCAGCCCAGGCTTCTGGATCCACAAACCAAACCGTAGTTCCTAGGGACGAGTCAGCAAGAGAGACAGAGACAGAGATACGGGGGGCAGGGGGAGGGGGCTTTGATTGAAACCAAGGCATCGGGAGGTCTCTGCCTCTGATTCTGGGTTATTTGAATCAAGGGAACTCATTCAGCCTCAAGCACTTAATCATTTCATTCCTCTTTCTGGTTTTATTTTGAGATATTAAGAGGAAAGAATCATGCTGGGGGTTGAAGAGCATCTTTTTCTCTTTCTAGCTGTTGCTTCTGGATTCCCTTACCCAATGCCCACTGCATATGTTTGACCAGATGGCTTGGACTCTTGGCGGCCAATTCAGCTGCTCAAGAACATGGTTGTGCTTAACCTCATCAACTTGACTTAGCTTCAGTTCATCCTGGGGTAGGAGAGTGATACCCATCAGTTTAATTAGCTTAATGAGGGCTGAGGGAACTGGTCCACATTTTGAGTTTGTTGCACAGAGAAAATTGGTTTGCCTTGCTCCCTCCTTGATCGTTCCAGCATTCACAGGGAGAACTGCTCTCATTAACCATTTAGGAGAGGCATTTTCACGCCCTTCTCTCCGGTGAGGAGTTGGGCGCTGTCCAGGGTACCAACATGAACTGGAGTCCAGGAACTCCGCTCTTCAAGACATGTGTTTCTACGCTATGAGAAGTCAGACCACAGTAACTGACCATTCAACCCACTAGAAGACTAGTAGGAATTCCTGCTCCAATAAAAGGCAACGTTTGAGCTTTTTACCTAAAGCATGGTCTCCAAAGTGGGGTGCACAAAGAGATCCTTTGAGGTTTAGGAATAAAATGTTAGGATTCCTATTCATTTATCTGTCTTGGGTTTAACTTTCTACCATTTGTATGTATAATGATATATGTATATGCTATCTAGATGAATATACCTGCACAGCAGGGGATATGCTCATTTTCCTTCTGAGAGGGGCACGTGATCAGTAAAGTTTGGCGATCACAGATCCAGAGGGATGAAGAACAAGTCAGTCCAAATTTCTGGAATTGGGGAGTCATATGCATGGGGTGGAGGATTGATATCAAAAGCTGCTGCTGGTGGTAGTTTTAGAGGTCTGGGGTCTGAGCCAAGCACTAAGTCTACTGGACTCCATCCTTCCCCCTCACTGACCTCACACAAACACTGCACCCCAAGCAGGCTGGGTTTGGATGTTGCGTAGACAATGCTGAACTGTGCATGGAGCCGGGGGACACAGGGGAAGATGAATGAGTGCACTCCAGTCTGGAAGGGTTGAGGGGAAGCTCCTGACTCAACTCCACGATGGGGAGGGATTTATGCATCAAAAATCTCTCCGGAGTAGGCATTGGGGTCTTCCTGAGACCGAGTAACCACCTTGAACTGGCGCCGGAGAAAACCACCATAGCGCTTCTGGTTGTCCCACTTGAGCTTGGGACGGATGCGCCTCAAGAAGCCCCCATAGCGTTTATACAGGTCCTCATGGCCCACCCTATCGGCATCCACATCCCCCTCGCCAGCCACCTCTGAGCTCCTCTTGGGATATTTACGCAAAAATCCCCCATAGCGTTTGACCTGCTCCTTGGGCTCCTCCTCATCAGAATCCAGTGCTCCAGCCTCCATGGCACCATCGTTTGGCTGGGCATCTCCCATCAGCTCAGACTCCACACCCTCCCCCAGCTTGCCAGAGAGACCCCTGAGTTTCTCCACCAGGCTCCTGCTCAGAGCATTCTCCTCCGCTGGGGTGCTGAGGAGGAGTCTGTTTTCCTCCAGCTTCTTCAAGAAGGGCCCCATGCGCTTGGCCAGCTCACGATAGGGCTCTTCCAAAGTTGGCCAGCTCTCCAAATCTTCCTTGCCACTGAGCCCGAGGGTGAAGGGGCTGGGAAAAGACAGAAGGCCCTGGCATCTCTCCCACTCCTCAGCTGGCAGCAGGGTGGCCTGGCATTCCAAGGAGCAAATCTGCAAGAGATCCAAAAATACCACAGTGGTAATGTCACCCCATCAAACTGTCAAAGCACATGCACTCCCCTGCGCCAGAGAGCCCCCTGTCCAATGTCTGAGAAAAGCAAAAGTAGCTGCCATTACTAAGCCCCGGGCTGCCCACTTTAATGCTCCCAATGGTGCATACAAGTAGGTGACTTTGTGCTCGAGTGGAAGGTGAGGAAACAGGCGTGGAGAAGTAAAACAACTTTTCCAAGGAAACATGGCTACAAGTGGCAAGGCCAAAATTGGAATTAAGATCTTCCCGTAGTGCTCTGCTGTGCTCACCCTTCCTCTTCCACTTCTGACTCCAGAGGGAGTAGTTGGTTCTCCCAACCTTTCCTGAGTGTGAAGGATGCTGCAAACACTTTACAGAGAGGGACGGAAGCAATGCAGAATGGTGGAAATAACTCATGCAAGGGGACGTTGGAGGGTTCATCAAAACTGGGGGGACAATACTATCTCCTTCATAAGAGCGTTGGGTGATTTCAAACATGACGATGATGACGATGATCATGATGATGACCATGATGACAATTTTGTACAATACTGGACTTGGACCCAGGCAGTCCAATGCCACGAGTCCTCGTGCTTAATCACTGTGCTCTTCTGAGACCACGTTTGGGCAGCTCCTGGCACCCTGTGTGCATCTCTATGAAGAGTGGCTAGAATTGTATACTCATATTTTGCATCGTCATCTCACGGAATCTCATTTTGTGGATGAAGAAACTGAGAGGGGGTTCCAGGGTCATGGAACTAGAAAGTGGCTTAACCAAAGCCTGTGTTCTGTCCACGAAACCCTTGGTACCTCTACTCCAGCCTATCTCTTGTCACAGGAGAGGCACATGGGGGAGTGTGACACAAAGCAAAGCCAACAAGGCTGGACCAAGAGATGCCAAGACCTAGGAGAAGGGTCAAGGCTTGGATCCTGTCAACCAGATCAGGGGTGGTGGAAAGAGCTCCATCCATGGGAGCGATTAGATTTGCAGGTGCCATCAGCCTGGTGGTGAGAAGCCCTGAGGAGCTACTCCAGGGCTGCCGACTCCCAAAGTCAGCACCACCTGATGGATAATGCTCTTTGTTGCCAGGCATCAGGCTCCCTGGAAACCAGAGTGTCTGTCCCAGATTGGAGTGAGCCCGTGGTGGTGAGGTCTGGGGTGGGGATGGGAGTAGCAAAACAGCAGCCCCTGGTGCCCAGGCTGACCACAGGGCAGGACATGACCTGCCCAGGTGGGACAAGTCTACAGGACAGGCACACAGCTCCTTTCCCTCTCTGGGCTCCTCACACAGATGGTGCTGTTCACACACAGGTCCCAGGACCTGGGCATCTAGAAGCTTGCCTGAAACCTACCAGGGGGTTGATGGGTTTGGGTCCATGTTGGGTCTTCACAGCACACAAAGAGCAGCCGGACAGGCAGTCCGCTGTGGCGGAGGGGAGCACGAGGAGGCAAGCAGCCAGCACCAGCCCCTGCCACGCCATTCTGTCTCAGCTCTTCCTGCAGGGAAGGGAGAAAGAGAAGACAATGAAATCTGTGAGCACCTACTCTGTGGGGGTATCCTGAGCCTGCAGCATCATCTCAGCAGCTTCTGCCAGCAGCACCACAAGGCAAACATGCTCGTTCCCATTCTGCAGTCGAGAAAACAGAGGTCCCGAGAGGTGCCATGGGTGCCCAAGGCTAAGGGTCAAGGAAGAGAATTAACACATGCTGAGCACCTACTCTGTGCTAGGAGCTTCCCCACAGCATTCATGTTCAGTCTGCAGAACAGCTCTTAGGGTGGGTTGTGCTATTTTCATTGGGCAGATGGGGAAGTTGAGGCTCAGAGAGGGGAAGTGACTGCCCGCACAGCTAGGCAGTGGACAAGCCAGGACTTGACCTGTGGCTGACAGGCTTCAAAACCCACCTTAACCACCCACCAAGCTGAAGACATTTGGCCATCTGCTTTTCTGAGTTCTCTGAGGCTTCTGTCACCTGCCTTTGTCCCCTACTCCCCAGGCTGTCCCCAAGCCCATCCTTTCTGCTGTGAGAGGACTCTGGAATTTGTCTTTTCCACCCCAGCACTCCTCCTGACCCTGGCTATAGCTCCACCTTCACCTTCAGTTCCTTCTCTCCTGCCCTCCCTGAAATGTCCTTCTCGGTATACCAGTTCTGTGATCAGACCCACTGGACTGAGTCAGGCCTGGCCCTTCTCCTAAATGACAGGGACACCCTCAATCCCATCCCTATACCCTAATGCTTCAGCTCTGGGTTCCAACCAAATCCAGCTACTTGCAATTCCCCTAAAGAATGTATCAGGCCTGGTTCTACCTCTGGGCCTTTGCACATGCTGTTCCCTCTGCTTGGAAAACCCTCCTTCTCCTCCTCTGTTACCTGTCATTTAGGTCCTAGCTAAGACATCGCCTCCTCCAGGCATCTTTCCCTGATCTCCTAGGCTGGATGGGCTGCTCCTCCTTTCTATTCTCCCAGAAACTTGTGCCTCCTCCATCAAAATATCCCACTAATTGGTAATTCTCTACGTGAGTCTTCAGACTTTGGCTCCATGAAGGCAGGAGCTGTGCCTTGTTTCCATTTCTGAAATACTCTCTGTTCCTCAAGCATGCCAAGCCTGCTCCTGCCTCAGAGCCTTTGCCCTTTCTCCTCCTCCCGCTGCACTGCTCTGACCTCAGATTTTCACATGGCTCGCTCCTTCTTGTAATCAAATGAATTAAATGTCACATCCCCAGGGAGGCGTCTGCTGACCGCTGTGTTCACAGCAGCCTCCTGCGTCTCTCTGGCTTTGCCCTGCTATGTGGCACAGAGCGCTCACTGCCTCGTGCAGTCCTGCTTACCTGATGTTTGCTGGTGTTGTTTGTTGTCATCGCCCCCACCAGAAAGCTAGCTCCTTAAGGGCACAGGCCCTACCTGTGTCTCCTCCTGTGTCCTCGCACCCAGAATCCTGACTGGCATACAGCAGGCACTCAGTAAGCACTAATGCTCACAAATAGCCTGTTAAAAGCTGTCCCTTTCACAGTCAACTTCTTATAAACCAATTATCAAGACTCAAAGCTGTTCAAATGGGGGGTAGTGCATTCTCCCAACTGGACATGGGGAGACCCCCTGAGACACCCCGGCCTGGGCAGGGGCCCCATGCTCTTCCCAGGCTGGTCCTTAGAGCGGACACCTCTAACGCAGCCCTCGGGGATGGCTGTCCTTCCCCCTCCAGTGCCCCTTCCTGCTAACTGCCCTGTTTGCTCAGGTGTTCAGGGGGCTGAGAAGACTCTGCTCCAAGACCCCAGAGCCCCACACCATACCTCAGAGCTTGGTCTCCCTCCTCAAAGCACGCAGCAGGTTCCCCACCAAAGCATGCCTAACAGTGATCCCAGCCGGCGTTTATGGAGCCCCCGCTGCATTTCAGGCCTTGAGCTAAGCTCCTAAGTCCATCATCTCATTTACTCCTCCCCAGCGAGGCAGGCACTTCCAGTCCAGTGGATTACCCACGCCCTACAGCAAGCGGTGATGTTGGGGCTCTGTTATTGGTGCTATTGGGCAAGGCTGTTCTGTTTGACTCCCCACGTGTGCCCTCAATGACTACCATTTCTAGAATAACTTCGATTCATTAATAGCTGAACCCTCCCTGAGGCCCAGAGACCCCCATGCACAGGGTCTTGGACTTGCATATTGTTCTCAGTCCAATCGCCAACTCTCAGAGGTGGGCACCATTAGCCCCACTTTATAGATGAGAAAACTGGTGCTCAGAGAGGCTTGGCAAACCTCCTGAGGTCACACAACGATTAAAGGTGAGCACTCAGGCCCACCTGCCTCTCTTGAGGCTGGGCAGGGTCAGCCGCCTTAAGCAGGGAGGTTCAGAGCAGGAAACACAGGGAAGTGGACCTGTGTCCATCCCACGTCTCTGCCCTGCCCTCGGGTTTCTCTCATGCTCTATCGGCTGCTGAGCGGATTTGGGTTCCAGGCGAGTGAGCTGTGCCACTTCTGTGCAGATAAGAGGCAGGCAGCTCATGTTTTCTCTGATATCAGCGATGGCTGGGCTGGCCTGTTACAAGATTAGCAGTGAATTAACCTCTGGGGCGGGGGAGCCTACCACCCTCTAACTCCTGGCCGGAGGCCTCGCGCACAGCTTGGCTGCTAAGGTAGGAAGCCCGACCTGAGATCTGTGTCCCAGACGAAGACAGTTTTAGCATCCTTCCCCTTCCTCCATTAACTTTGTCTTTAATAAGAACAGCTGACCTGATGGTTGTTAAGGACTTGAGATGTTCTGAGCGATTCTCATGGATGAACTCGTTTATCCTCACAGCAACTCTGTGGGGTGGGTGCTGTTGTCATGCCCACTTTACAGACAAGGAAACTGAACTAAGACACCTGCCAGGACGCCAGAGCTGGTAAGTGGCAAAGCTGGGATTGGTACCCCGGCAGGCCGGCTCTGGAGCCCTTCTCTTACCGCTGTGTACTGACCCCGCCCCTTCAATCCACCGCTCCCCGGCCTCCAGCTCTGCCCTTCAGGGGTCCGTATCTGCCTCCTCCAATCTCACCTCTGAGATGCTCTCCAACAGCAGCCAGAGGAGTCTCCCAGGCTCCCCGTGCCTTTGAGAGGAAGCCGCCCCTCAGCCACGTGCTCACGGGTTCTCCATGATGGGATGGGGCCAGCTGACATTTACTAGGGGTCACCCTGGTCTGAGCATCTTAATGTGAGGGATCCTCCTAACAACCCTGTAAGCTTGATGGTCTCCTCATTCTGCAAATGAGAAGATGGAGGCAGAGAGAGATTACGTCGCCTGTTCAAGGTATCTCCACGCATGGGCAGCACCCAGCCTGGGCGTGAGCACCTGACCTGGGCCTGACCAAACCACCTGCAAGTCCAAAATGAAGGCCCACTGCCCCAGCTTCCAAGCTTTAGTACAAGGGGTTTCCTCTGCCCGAAACACATTTCTCACCCCCCCGCCCCCCATCCACTCCCATCTCCCTTTGACCTGGCTAACTCTTATTTGTTCAAAACTCAGCCTTGGTTGCCTCCCCCAGGAAGTCTGTCTGGATTAGGCCCCTCTGCTGAGCTTTCAGAATCCCCTTGCCAGCTCTATCACATAATCGCCTCTTACTTCCTGAGTCCCCTGCCAGGTGGTAGTTTGCAAGTGCAAAGTCCCTGAGGTGAGTGTGTTGTGTATTTGAGGGTGACAGGGAGCCCAGGGTGGATGAAGATAATGAAGGGAGGAGACTGGGGTAGAAAAAGCAGAACGGTGGACAGTGGCTGGATAGCGTGGGCCTCCCAGGCTGAGGTTAAAGAGTTTGCATTTCATTCTAAGGTGATGGGGAGACTGAGGAAGGTTGAGTGATGTGTGAATGAATGAATGAAAGAATGGTGTCCCTGCTCTGAATACAGGGCTGGAATGAGAGCAGGAGCTCCACACAAGTTTGTCCAGTGAACAACAGGCAACCCCTTGACCTCTTGGAAGCCCAGTCTACACTTTTCTGCATGACACCTTTATGCCTCCAGAGAAACCTCAAGGTCTGCAGGTTGTCTAACACCAACACCTGCTACAGGAATTTCAGCAAATGTCAATGAAGCCAGGAGAGGGGTGAGAGGAGGGGAGAGGAAGTAAGAGAAGAGGGGAGGCAGCAGGAATTGGGGGGATATGAGCGGGGGGAAACTGAGGCAGAGAAAGAGAGCAGAGTGACCTGGGAGGGGGAAGGGGGAGAAGGAGGAAGTGAGAAACAGTCCGAAGGGAGATGGAGGGAGAGAAGGAAGGGGGAAAGGAGGGAGAAAGACTAAAGCGGAGAGATGGAGAGACAGAAGGAGGGATAGAGACAACGAGGGGGAGACACAGAAGGAAGAAAGCCTGAGGGCAGAGGGAGAGGCAGAAGGAAAGGACCAGCCGTCACTTGCTGAATATTAGAGACTGTATGCTGAGGCTTTAACCTTTTTTCTGGCTTGCTACAGGTGGTGCTCACGAGCTATGGCTCCTTGACACGATAAGGGCTCAGCCCTGAATCACCATCTTCAGGCACAGTGACTTCAGCCTCTCACCCCCACACCCCTGCCCCCCTCTGCGCCCTGGCCTTAGGGGGTCCACCAGGAAGGAGGGCCAGGACGCGGACTCTGAGGGGATGGGGCCCACAGCAGGGGGCAGCCCAGTGAGGCCCTTCTGAGGACAGGGACAGAGCGGTGCAGGCAAGCGGGACCCAGGCCTCTGGCTCCCTCCTCCGCCGCCCTGCACACGGCGAATGTCCGTCCAGAGGTTGCAAACTGTTCGCCTGCAGGACTAGCTGAGCAGGTGGGCACAAGCGTTTGGACTTGCACAAAGATTTTTTAAAAATTTTGTTGCCAATATTTTAAAACTGAGAGATTTTTACATTTAAAAAAGTCTCAATTTCCCACTTGTCTCCAAAAGATCAAAGGCCTTGAAAACATCAGGCTTGCATTCGAATTGGCAATAGTCACAGAGAGATGCCTGTGGCCTTGTCACCACTGTCCCCACCAGCAGCTTCTCTCATGTCCGTCCATGCCGAGCGCCTGACAGACATTTGAGTTTGCGACATCTGAATGGCCTCCTCCATCACTGGGGAGCGCAGCAGGGGGTGGGAGGGGTACAGCATGTGACAGAGGAGAGGTGAGACCTCCAATCCCCTCCTGACCCAGAAGCAGGATCACCAAGTGGTTAGTGATGTGGATTCAAATGCCAGCCACCACTTATCACTGGTTTGGGAAAATTATTTAACTTTGCCGTGTCTCGTTTTCTTAGTTCTAAAATGGGGCTGATAATAAGGCTTCAGAGGGTTGGTGTAGGAATTAAATAAGACCACGTATAGAGCACGTGGCACGGTGCCTGGCACACAGTAGGTGCTTTAAATAGTAGAGTAGGAAGGCTCCATTCCAATCTTACATGGGCTCTGGGAGATGGGAAAAGAAAAGGGCAAAAAGGAACGACAACATAGGGCCTGGAACACAGGGGGAACCCAAAAAGAGTTGTCAAATGAATTAACTGCCTTATGTGGAGGGCCTACTGTGTGTCAGGCGGGGCTGAGTGCTCCTCATTCACGGTCCCATCAATCCAACGAGAGCCACCACCCCTCAAGAGCCTACTGGATGCCAGGCTGTGCTCACACCTGTCATTCTAATCCTCTCAACAACCCAGTGGTGAGGGTGTGTATACCCGCTGCACAGAGGACAAGCTGAGGCTGGTTCAGGAGAAGCTGCTTACCAAGTTCACGTGGCTCGCAAATGGGAGGGTCAGGTTTCCGACCAGATCTCTCTGGGTTAAAAGGTGACTCTAATAGAGACACATCAGCCCTGAGATTTCCTTAAGCAATCCTGTTTCCTTCCTTTTGTAAGATAAATAAATTACTGAGCCATGTCAGATGGGTCCCAGGGGGAGCATCTCCGCCTTTGCTACTGGGATTTGCTTGGAAGCCGCACATCAGAGATAGCTCTGCCTGCTCCTCATCTCTGATTTGGGACGAGCTGAGGAGAAAAGGAACTCGGCCGTTCACGGGTGTGGGAAGTGGAAATAGAGCCCACTTGGTGAGTTCGAGGGGCAGCCCCAGGCACAGCCGCCCCAGTGGAGGGCTTGTGAGGTCTGTGATGGGGAGGGGCCTCTTTCACACACCTGGTGGGCCAGGGGGCCTCCTGCGGGCCCTCCCAGAGAAAACCCTCCGCACTTGCAAGCTTATGAAGCACTTCCTCAGCCCCCACCTCCTGGCGCTTTGAGACAGCCCAGTGAGGGCGGCTCCGCCGGCGGCTGGGGGAGTGATTCCCCTCGGACTCCATCATCACGGGATCCAGTTCCTTACGCTAAAGCTCTTTCTCCATAGGCACACATCCTGCCATTTCTGTTTCTCTGGAGAACCCTGACGGATACGACACGTGTCCCGTCTGTTTACACTAAGTCTATGCAACAGAAACGCAATTGAGTGTTGACACAGGGACTGTATGGGCCAGAATGCCAAAAAGATTGACTATCTGACCCTTCACAGAGAAAGTTCGCTGACCTCTGCCTTCATCATTTTTATAACCATTTTCTAATTCTAATTATTCTAATCATTTTGAAGCTCATTTTCTTGGGACAATCAGAGGGGAATCACCCCCAGCTCCAAGCCTCCTTCTTCCCATCTGTAAATGGGCTCAGCATCCTTTAAAGGCCAGCGCATAGTGGGTCCTTTTTCATCCAGGGCCCAGAGTTCCTTGAAAGGGAAGGGACTGCTTGCCCTCTTACCTCCTCTTGATGATATTTCTATATTATAGTCGGAGGGCTCGCAGAAGCAGCAAGCACTTTTATTTAAAAAGCCAGCATGGAATAATAATGGCTTGATTTAACATCGCAATTATCTCTCAGAGCATTTTATCGCATGTGATTATTCCTATTTGACAGAAGAGGAAATGGGAAAAGGTAGGAATGAAGTCACTTGTTTAAGGTCACATCATGAGTCAGGAGGGAAATGGAGACAGAGCTGGGGCCTCCCACACGCGGGCGGTGACCATGACTCGCACTGAGGAGATGGCGTCCTCAATGACCTTCCAACGACACACTCACACAGCCAACAGCACTGCCCCACTGCTCTGGGCCAGGCCTGGGGCCTCCCGTAGGCCCTGTGGGGCAGGCACTATTATCACAGGCTCAGCTTCCAGGTCAGAAGAGTGCGGACTGAGTGACAGAGCAGCCCCAAGGTCCCAAGCACGCGCACAGCGGAGCTGGGATCCTCTGAGCCCACAGCATCCCCTGTGTAAGGCACAGCCACGGGGCCAAGCTCACTGCTCTGCATTTAATCTCAGTTATTGCGTTTTCACCCTCTGGAGAACCCAGTAGCCTGGGCACTATTAGCTCTATTTTCTAGATAGGGAAACAGAGGCTCAGAGAAACAAAATGACTGAGTCAAGGCCAAGAGGCAAGGACACAGCAGAAGCAGGCCTAAAAGTCAGTCTGAGCCTCCGCCCCACAAACCATGCCTGGGGTTCAGCCATGCGTTAAACGCCCAGTGGACACCCCCTCCCCAACTCTCGCATTCATGAAGATGAGCCTATTTCAGGAGTTCTATTGCACTTGAAAATACATCAAGTTCATCTCTGTGGGTCTCCGGTGGGCTGGCAAATGGAGACTCTGAAAACTGGAGAAACTATGTCCTTGTCAGGCCTTTAGCATCATTAACAAAGAATGGATCATCAACTGGGGGGGGGGGCGGGGGGCTCGGGTTCTGAATGGAAAGTGAACCCACCATTTAGTCCAGCAAGAATTGAAACACAGAACACAGGATGAGGGCCCACGGGGAGGGCGGCCACTTCTCTCAGGCCGTTCGTTGTGCGGACACCAGAGGAGAGACAGCCCTTCCATGACCGTCACAGTAGGTCATTAAGTGTGGGGTTAAAAGAATGTTTTTCAAGAGCAGGATTCACATGGAATCCCCACTCTTTGTCATTTGTTGTAATTAAGGGATGGGGAGAAAGGCGGAGGAGGGTGGAACAGAGAGAGATGGAAATGAAGAGATACAGAAAAAGACAGACAGACGGCGGGGGGGGGGGGGGGGGGTGTGCAAAAAGAGCAGCAGAGATGTGACTTGCATACACAGAGCAAGAGATAAAGACACCTAGAAAAGCACCGAGTGAGATGACGGCCCCTGTGGGAAAAGAAAATAAAGATGAGAACTAGAGATGGAGTGACGGCGAATGAGAATGAAGGGGAGAGAGTATAAGAAAGAGGAAGAGGAGGCGAGGAGAGGGAAAAAGAGGGGGGAAGGGACCAAAATGAGAGAGAGAAGGCAGGAGAGAGAGTGGGCTTGGATGCAGGAGGCTGACCTCCTGTGAGTCACAAACACCAATTCTCTGCTCCTGCCAGGGGACCAGAGACCCCACCACATAGTAACTGTTCAGTAAACCCTTGTCAGGTTAAATTGAACTGTCCAGTAATAGATCAAGGGACCAAATGATGACAGACAAATTGCCTCCTGGTGAATATGCCTGCAGCGACCGCTCTGGCACATGGGACAGCTGGATGGCCTCAGGGAGAAGCCTCCTGAGCCAGGGGATGGCGACCATGGATCTGGGCCATTGACCGTCCCGCCAGGAGCATCAATCTGAACCCAGGCTGGGAGAGATTAACAAGGTCCAACTTCAGAGGACCCAGGGCCACCTCTCCATCTCCAGGGCCTGATCCTGGGCTTGCCTGGTTGTCTCCAGCAACGTCTACTGCCCGCCACAATGGCCAGCTCTGTCCCAGTGAAATCGTTTTGGCCGTTTGTCAGACTCAGTGAGATTAACCAACATTTACGGGCTGAGATGAGGGAAACAGGGAGAGGAATCAGCTAGCTGACCGCATTTTCTCAGACATGCGTTGAAATCAAACCACCAACTATTGATCCTGCTTAGAATGATGGAAGACATCTAATAAATATAGCAGGTGTGCAAGAATGAACCAAGGAGGGGAGTTAGGGAGGATCGATCGAGAAGAGACTTCATGGTCCCGGGGCGGCAGATGAAGAAATAAAGTCTTCTGTTGGTGTGGAGAGAATGGGACGGGGAGGGGAGAGGAGTGGCAGCCCCACAAACAGAAACAGTAGATGTTCGATCCTATTTCCTGGACATTGCGCACAGCATGATGGAGCAGGACATCAAGGACTTTATAATAGATTGGGGGGAGAGGGAGGGGCCCAACTCTGCCACCTCGAACTTGAACAGTCATACTAGCATTTACTGAGTACCTACTAAAAGCCAAGCACATTACAGTATCCCATAGGAGTCTCAAATAACATCAGGAGGCGAATATTATTATTATCCTTATTGTACAGGTGAGGATATTAATGCTCAGAGAAGGACAGCTGCTGTCCCAAAATCACACAGCAAATGAGTGGTGGGATCGGTGATTTGAACCCAGCACCATCTCGGGTGTTGTGAGACACACATTCAGATGATATACAGAAAACTCCTGGCTCCCAGGAGTTACCTCAGCACCCTAATCTCTTTCCATATGCTTTAAGGGGATTGCATTTCTCAAACAGCCCTGGTGCCGGTCCCTTTGACTGCTCTGCTAAAAGGTGCTGGATTCCACGTGCTGGGTTCCTCAGGAGCCGCTGCTGGAACATCCCACTCCAAGCTGCCAGCGGAGACACAGGATTCTCCTGACACCCATCACACCTCTAGCTCCTCTGGGGCAAAGCAGTGGGCTTGAGATCCCGTCAGCAAATGCAAACCTCCCCCGGGCAGCATAACTCACCGGCTTGGGCTGCTGCAACAGCTCCCCTACGCAGATCTCAAAGCCCGGAGATAAACGACCTGCAAAAATAGAACAAAAGGCTAGGTGGGGTGGGCTCGGGGGAGAAGGTGAGGGGAAAAGAGAAGCCAGAGGCAGCCGCAGGAGGGGACGGTGGGCGCAGAAAATGAAGAGAAGAGGGCTGACATTCTGAAACATGTTGCAATAGATCCTGACGGAATGCCTGTCAAATTAGAGAAGCCTTGTGTATTTTCCCAACCCTTGGAAGAGAGATGGTAATGAAGACTTTCTGTCTGTGGGAGGGGAGTTGAAATCAGATCCGATAAGCTGAAGACCTCGTTTCCCCTGGGAAGCTTGGAGGCTTAATTAAGGAATGTTTATAAAGCTTGGAGAGCTATTCCAGATAAAAGATACCCAGGGAAAAGGACGAGGTCGCAGAATTTACTATTCAACCTCGGAGTCATCGGCAGGTTTTTTTCTGAAGCTCACCGGCTTTTTTGCTAGAGTCAAACTTCGAGAGTCTATAATACTTTCTGTGACCGTGGATGTCTTTATATAACGGCTGCCCCCTCTGAGCCTCTCCCCTGCGGAACTTAGACTCCTCTGGAATTTACACGAAAGCAACAAGTCCTTTCAAAGTAACACTGACAAGAAAAATCCTGCTCAGCCTGGGTCTCCTGGCCTGTTGTCACTCTCTTTCGCCATTCCCTCCCAAAAAAACCACCCCAAACTTCATTTCTGTGTAAAATTGCGTCAAAGGAAGCCACTCCAACCAGCACCCTGTCAGCAATTAAACACGACCCAAAAAGAATGAAAAGGCTGAACTTGGTCGTCTGTTGATGTGCATGGCGCGTGGGGAAAGCCCGAGCCCTGAATCTCGTTAATGTCCCCAAGCCTGTGCTCTAAGTCCAGTGAGAATCAGGACCTTTTAAATCACACTGATCAACTCAACCTCTCACTTCTTCCACCCAGTCGTCCCATTCCCGCACGGGAACCACTACGTGGCAGGTGGCAAGGGGAAGAAGACCCCGGAGCTGACACCGAGGGGTGGTCCTCTGGGGAGACAGCCACCCACCTGTGTAAGCCAGGGCTGCGGGGAGAGGGAAATTCCAAAGAGCAGTCCATCTCCCACTGACCTGGCTTTTGTAAACCAGCCTCCTGGCTGTAACTACTTCTCCCGGATAATCAGACTCAGACCTGAAACCTCCCCAGCCCGAGCTCTATCGCCTCCAGGTCCGGAGGACCAGGAAGAACAAACAGAGCCCAGAGAGAGGATGCCGGTGCCCCTCTGGTTTTTACCTGCGTTCTTCTTTCTCCCTGGGCAGCTTCTGGCCGAGCAGGTCGGATGGTGGTGGCAGGAGGCCGGTCCAAGACTCAGGGGCCTCACTGACTCCGGCTCAGAAGGAGGTGCCCGAGAGGCAGCTGTGAGCACCACCAAAGCCCCTTCGAATGGCAGTTCTGGTGCCTCACCCCCCTTTTATGGACGAGAGCCTCCCCCTGTCGCTCAGCCCCTGCTGAGCACAGGCTGCTCGGAGCCAATGGGGAAGGAGCACCGAGCAGTCTGAGGCGCAGACCCCCGGGCCCTTCAACTTGAACTCCCTGGGCCCGACACAATAGGCTTCGTGACAGGGGATGTGGAGGAGGAAGGCAGCCCTGCCGGGAGGGGGGTGGATCCTGGGTGCAGAGCTGTTTGTCACTTGAAATCCGGCCACTTCAGTTTTCGATGCGTTCCCTGGAGAGTGTCACAGAAAAAAAGAGAGAGAGGTAGGGAAGGACAGAGACGGAAAGAGTGAGAGAGAGACAGACAGACAGATACAGAGACAGATGGAGACAGGCAGAGAGAGAGACAGAGACAGAGATAGAAGGAATGTGTTAGACCAATAGAGAGACAGATGGAGACAGGCAGAGAGATAGAGAGTCAGACAGATACGGAGACAGAGAGGCAAACAGATAGAGACAGATGGAAATAGAGAGAGAAAAGAGACAGAGAGACAGCCAAACAGAAAGATTCAGAGAGGATCAGAAACAAAGACAATGCCAGAAAGCTAGGGAGGGATCCAGACAATGGAGGGGAGAGGGAATCAGAACAGCAGAGAGACACAAAGAGGGTGCCAAGAGTGTCAGAGACGAGGAGACCCAAAGAGACACAGAGAAACAGAGAGAGTCAGAGGAAGAAAGATAAGGAAACCCAAAAAGAAGGCAGTTAGACTCTAACCCACGCAGACAGAGACAAACAGACATGACCCTGGGTCGTGTGCCTGGCAGTCTGTGTGTGGCTGCTGTGCGCACGTGCTGGGATGTTTTTGTGCGTACACTTGCCTGCACCAACAGTCGGCTCTGGTACATGCCTGAGCCGGTGCCAGGCACAAGCAGTGCTGGCAGAAGCACAGCCTTCCCCGGCAGCCAGGAGCTGCCGTTTACTTTTCTCTGGCGGCAATACAAAAGGAATATCATGAAATCCCCCTCAAAGCATAGGCTGCGATGTGCCTTTGCACACGCTCTGGGTGGGGGCATACCCGCCTCATGTGTCCCTTGGGCTATGCCAGCAGCAGCTTGAAGGCTGCACTGTTCATGGCTACAAATACCTTCCAGAACGTGGGGGTCTCTGAGTTTGGGAGAGAACATGCTTCTCTCCTCAGTCACCAGCAGGCGAGCAGCGGACGGTGGGAGGCCCGGCTGTGTCAGAAGTCTGGCAGGGGCTGCCCACATCCTGGGCACCTATGCTGCACCGGGCCATCAGCCAGGGTTGTCGGGTTTAATCTTCGTGGCCTGGCCCGGTAGTGAACATCATCCCCATCTTGCAGATGAGGAACAAGAGGCTGGAGACCTGAGAAACCTGCCCAAGACATGCAGCACGTCCACCATCGAGCTAGGATCCAAACCCAGGTTCTCTGACTTGAACTCCTGCTCCTCCCTCACCCGTCCTTGGGCACGAAGCCTCGAATCTGCCCACATGAGGGGAGGGGGCTGGGAGCCTCCTTCTCCAGGACCGTCTCTCCACCTGTACGGGGTAGGAGAGGGCTGTGCCTAACTGTCTAAGATGTGGCTTTGAGTCCCAGCTCTGCCACTCGCCAGTGGAGACACCCTTGACTTGCTCCCAGCTTCAGCCTCGGTTCGCTCATCTGTAAAATGGGGATAACAGCATCCAGCTCACTGGTCTCTTGTGAGGGTGAAACAAGAGGATGTGGGCAGCAGCACTCCATGCAGCCAGCACTTAGTAAGTGCTCTACGTCATCTGTCCTTGTGATTAATCTCGTCATTCCCGCTCAGACGCACCAGGGTTCTCTGGGCATCACCATCTCCTGCACCTGGTTCTTTACAAGGAGGAAGATGGCAGGGGCCATTTGCCGAGAGCCTGCTGTTTCAGACACTTGCTCCTGTTTCACTGTATCCTCGCAACAAGCAAACGGGTGGCGTGGCTATCACAGCGCACCCTCAAACCCATAAGGCAACTGAAGCTAGGGGAGCCCCAGCCACTCCAGGAGGAGGGAGCTGCTGAACCCAGTCCGTCGGGCCCCAAAGCTCAGCTGCCACGTCTTCCCTTCCAGCCTTGAGATGAGGTCCCCCTGCTCCCTTCCACAGAGGACTCCGGGATCCGAGCCTTGCTTGCTTGCTCTCTCCTCCTTGTCCCTGTTCCCAGGTAGCACGCTGGGTCTGACAGGAAGATGCAGACGACTTCAGGTGCCTGGGTGGGAGCCCCCGGGCCCAGTTCTGATGGCCATGGGCCTGGGTCACCCCTCAGGCTGGCTTCCTGCCTGGTGACCCAGAGGACTTGGGTGGGGTCTGTCCATTGCCACCCTGGGAATCTGGGAGCCCGGGGCTGGACTTTGTCTCCACTCCCAAGGCCAAATCCTCACCCCGGTTGCTCTCTATCCTCCTTATTCTTCACCTCCTCCTCCTCCTCACCTCTACCTCTGTAAGCTCTTGGTAATAACCTTGGAATAGACAAAGGCTCCAGGAGATGGGGTATCTATTTGTGGAAGTCAGCAGGCACTAAAAGAAGAGAGGAGTTGGGGCCTCTCTGGGCTGTTGTTCATCATGGAAAGAAGGAAGGACAGCGAGGGTGGGGATGCTGCGGAGAATGTGGCTTTAAGCCATTAATGTTTAACATCCTTCACCCCCGGTCTACGGTCAGCCTCAAGAGCAAATGGTTCATTCTTTTACTTTTTCTTTCCTTCTACAACAGCCTTTACACACACATGCAGGAAGGCCAGGAATAGCATTCTCCCTTAGTCCTGGAGAAGCTTGTCCCGGAGCTCACCCCTCTCCTGTGCTCGGGGTTGTTCATCACATCGTGGCCCCATGGGCAGCAGCACGTGGGCTGGGAAGACGTGGACGCGGTGCAGACTCACCGGGGCTCGAAACTCGATGCTCCTGCTTACTCACTGTGTGGCAACCAGCGGACACTTCACCTCCCTGAGCTCCTGAGTCACCTGAAGACAGGAGGACAACACCAGCTCCATGCAGGTGTCAGGACTCACCCCGGAGCTTTATGCTGCTCCCTTTCTGCATGACGAGTCTCTAATCCAGATCGTGGAGCGGGCAAAAAGCAAAGACTAAAGAGAAGGAAATGTTGAAAACAAACAGCCCTCAAATCATGCTGTTAGGGAGGAATAAGGAAGAACTTGGCAGAAGACAGAAAAGTAAAAAAAGAAAACCAGCGTTTCTTAAGGCCTTCCGACATGCCAGGCCCTGTTGTCAACTGTTTCTTCCGGTTATTAACACACTTGATTTTCCCAACAGCCCTGCAGTTAGATGCAAGTCGTCCCCCACTTTGCAGACAAAGAAGAGGCTGGGAGAATGTAAGTCACTTGCACAGAGTCAGGCAGCTGGAAAATGGCAGAGCACAGCCTGAAACCAGGCCGCGGGACTCCAGGCTTGTGATCCAACCCAGAGCTGTGTCATGCCCCAGCTTCTCTCTGCCCTGTGTCCGTCTCATTCACATCTGTGTATTCTCTCTGTTCATTTGTAGCACCTGTAGGAAGGTAGGAGCAGGTGACACGGATCACTCAGGAGGATGTCAGTGGAACAGAGTCCCCCCTCTCTTGCTCAGCTTCCAGTCTCCTGGACCCCTGGTCATGCCGCAGTGAGCCCGGCAGGAATCTCAGGGGACCCACACCAGTTGCTGGTCGCTGGAGCCATGTCTGTGTGTGGCTGCCACAGGAACAGAGACAAGGAAGTCAGAGGCTGTGCGTAAGGTGTAGCAACGCTCAATCTCTCTCTTTCATACTTTTATGGAAATGTCGCAATGTGCCACTCTGTGCTTGGCCCTCAGAGTGAAACGCGCCACACACAATTTTGCCTCCTTTGTGCGGATGGTCCAGGTTGGGGGGCAGGTGTAGAAATGAGCGAGCTCAGCGGATGATGAGTACTGGGTTACAAGGAGACCTGGGACACTGTAGGAAGACAGAAGAGGGGCTCCCCACACAGCCTGGTGGGGGGTGGGGGGAGGAGCAGAGTCAGGAGAGGTTCCTGGAGAAAGTGAGAGCCAAGCAAGAGCTGATGCCCAAGTAGAAGTCGTCCAGGCAGAGGAGACAGTTTAGGCAAAGACCTAGAGGCAAGGAGAGCTGAGAAGGATGGCAGCCTTGAGAGGAGGCATCCTCGACTCCCCTCTCTCTCGCCCCACATCCAGTTCATCAGCCGTCTTCACGGTGCTTGGCTCCATCGCCCTGGGACGGCCACCCCCTACTTCTCTCCTAGATGCCTGGACCGGCACTGCTGCCTCCTGCTTCCACGCTTACCTACTGTTGGCCCCTTGGTGGCGAGAGAGATTCTTTGAAAACTTTAACTCAGATTGTACTACACCCCTGCTGAAGACCCTCCAGAGGTGTTCATCCCACTCAGAATAAGATCCATACTCCTTACCTGCAGGACCTGCTCTCTGCCGACCTCCTGCTTCCTGCTTCCTGCTTGCTCGCTGCTCTGCAGGCTCCCCGGCTCCCTGCAGCTCCCCAAACACACCATACACGTTCCTGCTTCAGAGACTTTGCATATGCTGTGCCTTCTATCTGGAACACACCCTTCCCTCCTGTTCACTCCATCACTCTGTCTGGGTTTTGGCTTAAATGTCACTTCCTCAAACAGGTCCCTCCTGCCCACGCTGTGCCCCTTCACTCCTGATCCCTCACCCAGAGACTCTGTTTATCTTCACAGCGTTGTCTGATTTCTGTCTGTTTCCCCTGGTGGAGGGTAAACTACAAAGGCGGGCACTTTGTTTTGCTCACTGCTGCGTCCCTGGCACCTGAAACAGTGCCTGGCAGATAGTAGGCACTCAGTAAACAACGGTTGAGTTAGTGACTATAAGAACTACAAGCAGCTCAGAGTGGTTGGAGCCCACAGCAAAAGGTAGGAGTGGGGAGAGCAGAGGACAGAGACCGTGCAGGACGCCCACGCCAGGTTAAGGTCCAGCATTTTACCTAAAGAGCATCTGGAGGCCAGGATGGGGTTCAACTGGTTCTGTGTGTGGATGACGAGCCC